CAAAACTACATTAGACAAAGAAATCCCATACAGAATATATAACAATCCTACGTATTAATTAAATTAATTATATATATAACAACGTAATTGTCACTTTTGTTTGTGATTAACTACTGTAAGTATGATTTATGAATCCTACTAACTTTTCTTGCTCTGAAAGGCATCTGCAATTCCTACAATGATCATACCGATGATGTACCAAGTAATGGCAACCAATAGGATCTGTAACCAAGAACTGTTAACTATCTCCAACGCAAAAGAGCCACCTATATGCTCCTTTATCCCTCCTCCATTGCTGACAGCCGCCCTGTCTCCTCCTTGTAAACCTACAACTGCAGCCATCAATGTTGCTGGCACCATAGGCGCCAACCATCTAATGGGGTTGGGCCTCCTTTGTGCTACTTGTGATCTATAACCATTATCACCAATGGCATTATTATTCGTTTGCTTCCATTCGTCTAATGATGAGGCTGAAACTGTTGTTGTTGATGAGTTGGAGTTGTCGTTTTGGGTTGATGAGGCTGATGCTGCAGGAAGAGCATTGGTTAATGGCATCCAATAGTAGTCCTCCTCATTATTTGACGAACTGCTCTGGAGGGGCCTTGTGGTCTGATGATTTCTTGCCTGTTTCCTAGCAGCAGCTGCATCTCGGAGCTTGCCAATATTCGGCTGATCCTGGGATTTACCGGCCATTAATAGGAGAGGAGTAGTGGATTTATCACCTGCTGCATTTGAATAGGAGGAATAGGGTGTTTTCCAATACAACCAGTTGGAGATTGATCTGATGGCTTGAATAGCTGATAGTCTTGCTTCACTTTGTAGGTCTGTTGACGACTTAGAAGCTTTATCTTTTGCATCCTGGAATGTGTTCTGAAACTTTTTGACATCAACAAAGATGTTGGCGACGCGCTCGCCTGCTGCATTCCCCATTCCTATTCTTACACTGCCTCGTGGCTGCTTCGACATTAGAAACTCTAGAGCTGCTAGGTTTTCCCTCTCCACAATCCTATGATATATGTTAAATTAGTTCAGGTGATTAATCCTATACAATGTAGGTACTAATTGAAAAGTTAGTCAGAGATTCATTCACGGTTAGCATAACAGCGTCCAGATTAATTTATACTTATATGTAAATGCAAGGGCAAATTAATGAAATGAGAAAACACTTACGAGATGCAATCGACAGGACAAGCCTGGATGGCCTCTTGGATTTTGGATTCAGGGTCAGCCCACTGTCCTACAACCCTGGCTCTTCCATAAACTGATTCTATTGCAAATGTTTTCTCAGCGCATAATGCGCATTTTAAGCATCCAATGCACTTCACTTCATCCACGAAAACCGCCCTTTCTTCGCTCTCTGAACCAAACCATGCCGAGTATATTGGTTTCCCTGTGTATCCTCGAAGCTGTGCGATTTTCGATTGCTCCTGCAGGCAGTTCATTGGTCAATTTTGTTATATCATAATTAAACAAGGGAGTTGTTCAGTTGATTAATTATACAATGGTGAGTAGATTAAATAAGTACCTTGTCATAAGCAGAACGTGAATTAGGATCAGAGAGAAGAGCGTATGCTTCGTTGAGGATGATGGCCATGTCATGTCCTGCTGGACCTGCGATGTCCGGATGGCAGCGCTTCTGCAGATTGCGATAGGCTGTTTTGATCTGTGAGCGGTCGCAACTGCTGTCGATCCCCATGAGATCGTACAGATCAAAATCTGTGATGTTACAAGTTGAACTGCTAGCATTTTCCTTACTTGTATTATTAGAAGCAGAACAACAAACAACCACGCTCCTCTGCCTTCCCCTGGTGGCCCTGCATCTAGTAATTGTTATGACATTTGATGAAGTAGTAGCTGATCTGAATCTGAATGGGGAGCTGCTTCTGGTTATAGCGTTTGTAGTGGTAGCAGCAGGAATGAGAGGAAGAAGAGGAAGAGTCAGAGACGCTGCTGCCGGCATTTCTTCTGTTCCGATGTTAATTGTTTCTATGTTGCTAATAAGCCCACGTCTGAGAGACAAAAGATAAGAAGAGGAGAGGAGGAGGAGGAGACTTGTAGATGTAGTATACTTGTATTACTTGCATATTATACGAGGGAGTGACAACGATGATTGAGGAGCCTCCAAGTCCAAGATATTTGGGTAGAGAAGCAACCAAAGCCAAGCCATGACAAGGATGTGAGATATTTTGTTGAGCATTGTCTTGTAGACTAGAAAAAAGGCGAGTAGTAAAAAAAAAGAGAAAAAAGGCGAGTAGTAAAAAAAAAGAGAAAAAAGCAAGTTGCCCCCATGCAGGATCGAACTACAGACCTTCAGTTTACAAGACTGACGCTCTACCACTGAGCTATAGGGGCTACCCGTGATAATGTTGTCCAACTTACTTATTTATAGGAAAATAAATTAAACACTATAAAATTCCAGAGTCGCAGAGTTGGGAGGGACCAAACACAGAAGTCTCTGGAGTGTAGAGAGAGTGTTTAGAAAATCAATCGAGAGAGAGATGGAGAAGGAGAAGGCGGTGAGCGTGAACGTGAGAGCGGAGATGGAGAAGCTGAGCCCTGAGCAGTTGAAGGCCGTCAAAGAACAAACCGATTTGGAAGTCAATCTTCTCCAGGACTCCCTCAACAACATCCGCACTGCCACCGCCCGCCTCGAGATCGCCACCTCCGCCCTCCACGACCTCTCCCTCCGCCCTCAGGGAAAGAAGATGCTCGTCCCCCTTACGGCGTCGCTTTACGTCCCCGGCACCCTCCACGACGCCCACCAAGTCCTGGTCGACGTTGGCACCGGCTACTTCATCGAGAAAACCATGCCTCAGGCCAAAGATTACTGCGAACGTAAGATCAGCTTGCTCAAATCTAATTTTGACCAACTTGTCGAGGTATGTTCAACTTTTCATTTATTATTATCATTATTAGAGATTAATTAACATGTAATCTTGCAAAAAGTTATATTTCAATATTGAGTACTTTCCATTGATTTTGATAGTGCTAGGGTTTGGGATTTATTCTCTTCCACATTGTGGACTCATTTACTAAATTGAATTGGGAGCTTAATTGGTAGGAACAGTTTAGCTTTCAAATTTTGTTTGGGTGATTTGATTGTGTATGCTTCGTTTCAATTGTAGTTTAGTTGAATAGTTCTTGTAGGAGGAAAGATGTTACTTTTGTTGGTTGAGGAAATTAGGAATGAATCGAATAAAGCGGATATCAAAAGGGAAGTGATTTCCGCATTCTGCACACCTCCTGTTTGTTTCTGGCCTCAATAAGTCAATCATAATTGATAGAAAAACATTTAGGGTTTGTATAGAAAGAGAAAGCGCTTGTGCGGGAATCGTTTCCCTAAAGTATAAAAGTCCTTTGGTTGCAACCTTCTTCAACTTTGATTGTTAGTTTGCTGGTGGTGATCCTTTGTTCTGCGTTTTGTATTGCTGTTATCACCCATTTAGAAAGAAATCAGGAATTCAATGTTCTGTGCAGGTTGCTTCTAAAAAGAAAAGCATTGCAGATGAAGCCGGGGCAGTTTTGCAAGCCAAAGTGAAGCAGTTGGCTGCTACGACGTCGCAGGGGTAGATAATATGTTTGTTATGATGTTGAAATGTAGTGGATTTCGAGTGTGAACGAGTGCTTGTTTTCTTGCCCTTTTAGATTTCCAGGATTGATTTCCCATCTGGCATTTAATCAAGTGATCCTTGTGAATCTGAGAAACACGATGCTGTTGTGTGGCAGGACAGAACCACTTGATAGTTGATTGTTTCAAATTTTATCAGATTTCAGCTGTTGGGTTTAACTTCAAGGATGAACAGTGCCATTGTTCGTCTTCTTTTTGTTTGGAGGAAACCTTATAATTTAAACATTCAGCTTGTTAAAAGCATCAGGTTTCATAGCTGCACTCCCTGGGATGTGTGAAAGAATACACTGATTCGCAGCCTCAACGAATCATGATGCTGAGTTCACTGGTATTATGATTTATGCCTACAAAAGTCAAGTAAAATTTTGGTACTTCTTAAGAGTGAGGGGACGTCAATTACTCGATTTGCTATGCATCAATAATTTCGTTTTTCAGTTTTTACTGTTTTTTTTCTTTATAACTAAATCTTATTTGACAATTACTTTTGTTTAAAAAAAAATGAAAACTGAAAACCACTTTCTTGAGTTTTTTTATGTTTTTGAAAACTAAAAATGAAAGTAAGTTACTAAACAAGTTTTCTGTTTTCAAAAAATTGAGAGTTGAAACCAAAATCTAAAATATAAAAATGAAATGGTAATTAAACGACCCTTCCAATGCCCCGTCCCTACACTTTGAAAACTATAAAATTTGGAGGTTGGAATTTGATAATTAAGATAAACCATCCAAAAGAAGTTCAAAATATTGTCGATTGACTAAAAGAAGTATTCTCGTGAAGGAAGTTATTTGCACTTCAAAAAATCATCATACTCTAACCCCTAGTGAAAATATAAAGAAGATGATGCTATTCACACTCTTTTTACTTTCCAAACTCTCTTGTTAATTCTTGTTCATTGATTTTCTTCAATTTATTCATTCCAAATGTCAAACATTGAAAATGATGTATAAGAATTAAAAATGAGTGTGTTGATAGCAACACCCTATAAAGAATTCGTGCTCAATCACTGTTTTAGAACGCCAGTTTTTCTAATGATAGTTCCTTCTTGATTATTACCAACTATAGCGGAAAAATTAGCACCAATTGTAACTAGGGCTTTTCAACGAAAAAGAAACTATGAGGACTTGAATGAAATTTGGCTCAAACTAGGTGGACCAGAACGTAATTTGATCATATTAGTGTGAGGAGTGAGGACAGACTCGAACAAGGCCTTGATGAAAAGAAAAAGAGATTATATTCACATAAATCAAATTACTTCTCTCACGCATTTTTAATTTTTTAATATTTTTCTATCAAATGTTAGTGGTGTGTAAAAAATATTAAAAAATTAAAAAGGTGTGTGAGAAGTAATTTGAGTTCTGTGAATATAATCTCTCAAAGAAAAACCCTATATGAATATTAACGAAGCTTCTTCCTTGATCTTGAACTGGATTTGGTAAGTTCGCTCGCCCACAACCGCAAAGAGAACACCGCGGTGAACGGTAGATCCCCTGCAAGCGCATACAGATTAGTACCTCTCAGTATCAATCATCATCAGGTAATGTTTCTCTATCACAGTTATCATCAGAAGGTTAATATATTCCAAATAATCCTCCTTTTGTTTTTAAGATTATATGCGTTTCTGTTTTTTCAAATTTCATGTGTTAAATTAGATCTCAGGTTCGATGCTTTTTGCTAAGTTGCGGGTCGTGATTTGTTTGTCATGAAATTGAAATTAGAAATCAGAAAATTGGATTGTTGAAATTTGATTGATTTTGTGTTTTAATTTCATGTAATTGTGTTGTCAGATTTGATTGTTTTGTTCAAAATCTGCACGTATGGTTTCATAGTTGGTATTCATTAAGATGTTTAGCATATCAGAATCCTGGTGATTTCCTTGAAATGTGAACTATTCTCGACCTTCTTAATCCTGTTTTGTGCAGGATATGTCCTTGTTGAAGCATATTTGGCGTGATGTCGAGAGACTATTTTTGGCTTCAACTGCATAGAATGGTTTTTCTGTGCCATGTCTGAAGTAAACTTATTTCTTCGTTACAGCTTTTGGACAAAGATTGCTGCAACTTCATCGAGGCAGTTATTCCTCTTAGGTCTAACTACAGTAAACCAGAGCCAAAAGTCGATTCACACTATTGTAGCAAACATGGCACAGCTCTTCAGTTACACGGCCTGCAGACAGTTGTCTCAGATGTTCCTGGCAGTAATATTTTTTCACGGTTCTGAATACATTTTAGCAGTTGGCATTCACGGGAAATCAAACGTTACTCTTAAGTCACTTCTGATCAGCAAAAACTATCTTCTTGCGATGGTTTTTTCCTTGGTGGAATACTGTGTTGAAATTATTTTGTTCCCTGGCCTCAAGGAACACCGGTGGGTCAGCAACTTAGGCCTTGCAATGGTCATAATAGGCGAAATCATACGGAAGATGGCAATAATTACAGCTGGTAAGTCCTTCACACATCTTATAAGGACTCATGCCTCAGAGCATCACAGATTGATTACGAATGGAGTTTATAGAGTTGTTCGTCATCCTGGTTACTGTGGTTTCTTCATATGGTCGGTGGGTACTCAGATAATGCTCTGTAATCCCGTATCAACAATTGCATTTGCACTTGTAGTTTGGCGCTTCTTTGCACAAAGAATTCCGTATGAAGAGTATTTCTTGAGGCAGTTTTTTGGGCCGCAATACGAGGAATATGGCCGACGGATTCCTTCGGGGGTGCCTTTTGTAAAGTGAAGATCGAATTCCTTGGGATTTTGTGGGCAGGGTACTTGATCAAGAGTAGTGTTGTGTTGTTGAACTGATAATGGGTTGCAAACTTGCAAAGGAGGCCGAATTACTTCATCGCCTTCTACAGCTTAGTTGTTGCTTGGAGGATTGGAGCGGATCATATTCAGTGAAGCCGTTGTTGAGATTGATAGAATGCATCCATCCCCGATTCCTGTTGTACGATTTGTTTACAGAATGTATCAACCAATTTAGAAGGCTTGAATTCAGAGGAAATTACTGACTCTAGACTCTAGTTATTTGTGTATTTTTCACAGATCATGCTTGATAGATGTGTTCAAGTTTATATATCTAGTTGCTTTTATATAGCATTGGTTTGACCACCAGTTTTTAAGCTAATTAGGTTTTGGAGATTAAGAGTGGGGATTACATATAAGAACATCTGTTAGTATTTTTTTAATAATTGAGTTCACTAAAGCAATGACGTTCAGTATCAATAATATAAGAACATCTATTAGTGTCTTTTTTTTTCTTTTTCTAGAACTAACGATATTATCTACAATAAGAGGAGGGGTTGGGCTGCTGGGTTAAGCTCCGCAATGGATTGGTAATAATGTGGTTCAAATTTGTCTTTAGCGAGATTTCAACCTAAGACATTTTACTTACAAATAAAGAAGAATACTAACACATTTTTATATTATTGACTAGAGACGTTACATGACCGCCGTCCGTAACGTGCAAGTCCTCCTTAATTAAACCCAAAAAACAAAGCCACAATAAATCATGTGGGTCAACTCGGGCAGGTAAGTTTATCACTTGAGCACTCTCATTGCACATGGCCCAAGTTGAAGTCCAAGCCCAAATGAGAAATTAAAAATAAAAGCGACAGAAGAGAGCAGAGGGAGAGCGCGATCAGCATTCAGCAACGTCTCCATTGTCATCCAAAGGCTTCTTCTTTAGGTGAGGCACCGACCACCCAATCATCTCCTCCTCCTCCCTTCATCTTTTAATTTTATCTTTAATTATTAAATTCATGTTTTGATATCGACAATGAATCTACGTATTAAGTTGTCTGAAAAGGTTGATGAGATGGATTTCATCTGTTTTGTTGTATCATTATTTTAAGCGTAAGAATCTGTTCATGTTTAGTTTAAATCAGTGATGCTTAATTGCTTTTATAAACTTGGTGATTCTGCTGTATATGTGAATTGGGTGGCTTAAATTTCTCTTCATTTCATGCAATTGTGGCAGCAATTTGATTTGTGTTCCTGATGCATGCTCTTTTTTCCCCTCCTCCTTTCTGTTCCTGAGCGATTAGGGGATGATTTACAAACCCAGGATGATGTTAAACAATTCCAGTCTACCTTGAATTGGGTTTGGTTGATAACTTGATATTCAATTGCTTAAACATCTATCTGAAATAATTCTGCAACCTTTTTCTCCCTGTGCGTGTTTCTGTCTGCCTGTGAGAGAAATTTCATAATTTTTGTAGGAATACGCATACGTTTTTCTTTTTGTTCGTTTGCAGTAATGTTCCGTTCTTTGTCTTCTTAAGGTCGAAATATCAAGAAGGAAATTCTTCTTTGTATATAAAAGATTTACCAAAAGAGAAAAGATTTTGCATCAGTTACCCAATTCACAGTAGGTCTTGTTTTTCGGACTGCCAAACATTGCTATTTTGGAACTTTCATTTCTGACAGTCCATACACTTAAAATAGCAATTTATACACAGTGGTTGTTTTGGTAATGGGCACTTTATAAGTAAAGTTATTTAAATATTTGGTAACCATATAAAATTCTCGTACTCTCCCTCTTGCTAATGGCTTCTGTTTATGGCCTTTTACTTCCATACTTACTCTCTCTCGTTTGATTAATCAGTTGAATTAAGTACGTCAAGGTGCTGTCTGGCTACCCCTACTTGATAGTAAAATCTGTCTCATACCTGAGTAGTGAGAAGTTTGTTTGTTGCAATTAATGGCAAACCGGCCCCAGTCGCTTTCATTAAATGTTCAATTCGGAGGTCCAAGCGTTTCAGCACCAAGTGTCGCTGGAGCTCAAGCAAACAAAGATCGTAAAATGGCATCCGCAGAGCACTTGGTGCTTGACCTGAGTAATCCTGATCTTCGAGAAAACGCACTTCTTGAACTTTCAAAGGTAACTTTTGCAAATTTTGATTGGTCACTTCCTATATTAAGAATGAAGCATTGAGTCTGAGGCTTGTAATTTTGGATGTAACTGACTGTTATTTATGTAATTTCGTTGTTTTCTTCTCATTTTTATAACTAACAAGAGGAAGAAAAGTGAATTTGTTTCCTGTAGCGAGAAACTGGATTCGGAAGCTTGACAGTTGCATCATTATAAGTGGGCATTCAAAAGTTTACCCTTTTTTTTATTAAATAGGACCCATAAACGACTCGGAGCATCTTGATTGATACATATGCTATATGCTTTACATGTTATATGTTTATGATCATGGGGAAGCTTGCGTAGGTTTTTACAGCAGATTTTATAGTTGAATATTTGTGCCCGTGACTTTCCTTTAGGTGGTTGTGCAGTTTATATTACAACATTGATATGCTGCCCTATAAAATCTGTGTGCCTTTGGTTTCATTTTTTAGAACAAGGAATTATTTCAAGATTTGGCTCCTTTCGTGTGGAATTCTTTTGGTACTATTGCTGCACTCATCCAGGTACTTTTGTTTCTTTCTGTTCATACTTTTAGAAGAGAGAATTATTTCAAGATTTGGCTCCTTTATTGTGGAATTCTTTTGGTACTATTGCTGCACTTTTACAGGTATGTTGTATTGTTGCTTAAGTTGGTAGCTTGGGATAAGTCCCACATGTATTACATCTGATGTATGCTTGTCATATATTTATTGTCCATCTCACTTTTTCAACTCGGTTGAACGAAGTTCGTTAGCAGTTTTCACTCGTTGCTGACTCTCTTTGTTGCTTTTCTTTACCTATTCTGATCACAACTGTTGAATTGTTTAATGTTTACATTTCTTTAAATTTAGAGTGAGATTTTCATATGTTAAGGTTTGTTGACATTCCATTTTTGATGGATGCTTGTTGGAGCTATTCCCTGATGTTGGTTTCTTTTTTATTTGCAGGAGATAGTTTCAATATACCCTGTCCTATCACCACCAAATCTGACTCCGGCACAATCCAATCGAGTTTGCAATGCTCTTGCTCTTCTCCAGGTCACATGATTTCCTGTTTCAAGTATCAAATTTATGTTATATACGTATATTTTTTTTTTATATATACTTATGATTTTGTAATTCATCCGTATGAGAAGCACCTTCTGACTCCCCTTTTATGGTTTCTTTTAAACTAACTTAGGGACTGAATTTTAAGCTTGAGTAAATGAATTATGTACAAGGCCCATATTTACAATAAAAAATTTGAAAAGCCCATATTTTTGTCAATCAAAATCAGACGGTAGTCGTTGTTATCTTTTGAAATCTGGATTTGATGATTATGCTACTAGTTTTCTTTTCTTTACCATTTATGTTGCTTAGATTCAAAGATCAATTCTGTGTTTCTCAGTAACTGATATTCGATTCTTCATTTCTCACTATAATTCTATTAATATTGTGTTACGTTTTGTTACGTTTTGTATTTTCTTGCAGTGTGTAGCTTCACACCCAGATACAAGAATGTTGTTCCTTAATGGTAATTTGTCCTTTTATCTTTTATAGTATGTAAAGTTATCCTACCTGTTGTAGACTTGTAGTATGATGCTATATAGCTTATATTTCTGGTTTGGTTTTGTTTAAATAAATTAAGCTATATTTCCTTTAAGGCTCAAATGTATTCAACCGTATCAAGACAATCAATTATGCATTGTCCAATTGTTTATTAATGTATGCCACGAAACATTAACTGTTATTTTCTCTATGACATCTCCATTATAATGTTTTCGCAAGCTAAAAAATGGAAGTTCTTAATTCTTATGGTCTTGAAGTTTTTTTTTTCTTTCAGAAAGTTCATGTCTATGTAGAAAACATCAGCATATTAAAAAGTTTGATTTATTCTCGTGAAACATGGATATGGAAATGCAGTGTAAGACAGCATAACACTGATTAAAATAATTCTAACCTAGATATAATATGGTACTGTACACATATATTTGTATAAAAGTTGAATTTGTGGTGGCAATCATCTTGATGCATTGATTTCAGGTTGGATATTAACTCCCTTGTTTTCTCTTATAGTATTGTTGTAAGAGTTTACCCTCTGATTATGTTACGGTTACTTGTTATAAGGGTTTCTTGACATTGTATTAGCTATTAGGTACTTAATCGCTGACTTAGCCCCCAAATATTTAGGGAGTGTCAAGTCCTTTCACTGGCATTTCTTTGTCTTTGTTTTCGATTTCTTTTGGGAAATAATGTCTTTCCCCATGTCTTTGGATGCTTAAGTATGCATTTCATGATTAAGTTGTTATGTTTTATCATGCTTTTTTTCATGTAACTCTCCTTGTGTGCATTGCTTAAGAATAGGAATATTTCTGCAGATGCTAATAATTGCATTAACTTATTCAGCTCTAAATTATTATTCCCGTTCAACTTTTCTCTGTTGCCTTGCAGCTCATATACCTTTATATCTGTATCCTTTTCTCAATACAACAAGCAAGGCAAGACCATTTGAGTACTTAAGGCTTACTAGTTTAGGAGTCATTGGTGCCCTGGTGAAGGTACTTTTTATGGGATAACTTCTCTTGACCATTTCCTTTGTTTGTGCTATAACCTTGAGTTCTCTAATGAATCTTTAATTCAGGCAAGGGAATATCTGAGTCCCTGTCATACTATTGTTGCACCCACATTCTCCGCCCCTCCTCTTGCACAGAGGCATGCTCAGATACAAGAAATGGATATTCGCTCTAATTTTTATTCACCAGCCTCTTATGATCATATTGTTTTTATATTGTTCTTTTTCCAGGTTGATGATACAGAAGTTATTAGTTTCCTTCTATCAACAGAAATAATTCCACTGTGCCTTCGCACTATGGAATTGGGTAGTGAACTCTCAAAAACAGTTGAGTGTCCTGATTATTTCATTAAAGTTTCTCTTTGGAATGCTTTCTATCTGATACCTAATTTTTTGTAGAAGAACTATATTCCTAAAGGATGTCATTTTACTTTTAGAAGGCCCCTCTCTCTGATGCACGGGGATGGTTTAAAAGTTCTTAGTTATCTGACAAAGGATCTTGTTATGGCAGGTTGCCACATTTATAGTTCAAAAGATTCTGTTGGATGATATGGGATTGGACTATATTTGTACTACAGCAGAGCGGTTTTTTGCTGTAGGTCGAGTTTTGGGGACCATGGTTGCAGCACTGGCTGATCAACCCTCCTCACGCCTTTTGAAACACATCATCCGATGCTATCTTCGATTGTCAGATAATCCAAGGTTTGGTTATGCTATCTTCGGTATAATTATTTGATTCTTTTCCACAGCTTTGGCTTTTTCTCTTTCATTGGGTTGGGTTCATATTTTCATTAGTACACTAAATTTGTTCTTTGGTCTTTTATTGTGCAGGGCTTGTGATGCTTTAAGAAGTTGCCTTCCAGATGTGTTACGAGATGCTAGCTTTAACAATTTCCTTTGTGTAAGTATCTCAGCTGTTTATTCGTGTTGTTTCCTCATAAAATAATCCTGGGATTCATAATCCCTAGCATGAGCTTTATTAGTAATAGTGTCCCGTTTGAGGTGTTTAGTGTCCTTAATTTCGCCGCCTGCTAGCCTCTGAATTTATGGTTTCAAACTAGCTTAATTCCGCCGCCTACTAGCCCCTGAATTTATGGTTTCAAACTAGCTAGGATGTTTGTTAATTTTGCTATGTCTGTTTTTGTTGATTTCATTTTGTTTCTTGTATTATGCATGCATACAGGAAGATCCAACTACTAGAAGGTGGCTGCAACAACTGCTGCAGAACGTTGGAGTGAGCCGGATTCCTGCACTGCAGGCTGGGGGAGGATTTGATCACATGATGGTGAATTGAATGGAGAAGCGTACTTTCTTTTGAAGACCGGCACCTGTTGTATTGATGGAGATGTTGAGAGCAGAGACGTTGTCCTATTAACTTATAAATGTTCATCTTATTCTTCTTGTTGCTAAATGACATAAACATAACTAGTTTTTCTTTCCTTGTAGTTAGTTCTCTATATTCTATATATATTTGTTTTTAGGGTTTTGATGTAGATTCTACATAGCTCTATTGTTATAGTTAAATTATGAAATTGCAGTACTTTTGTTGCCTGTGCCTGTGCCTGTGCGCACTCTTATTGTGATGGTCTGTCTTCGCTTCCCCTTCCACCAAACCATAGTAGTGAGTGTTGTAACGGTCCAACCTCTTGCCAATTAAACCGGGGACCTAGCTCTAAAACATTTACTAATAATTACGTGCGTGTAACCTACAGACGTTTGTTAAGCTAGTTGACCTTGACTTGCACCCAAGTCGGGATTTTTCTATATGTAAATTAGAGTAGTTTAGACTATATGTAAATTGGACGTGTGAAACTTGTCTTGGAAAGCAGGGTAGGTGCGTGTTTTGTTCGTTTGGCTTGGGATCTGTCGAGCTAGCTGATGTTTATGGAGGCTGGAAAACTTTGTAGCAAGTCTCTTTTCGTAGTCGATAATTCACACGGAAAACTTTCTAGCAACTCTATTATTTATTGTTATAAGTCGAGTATAGCTGAAGGTAGTAGCGTCTTTAATTATTGAAGGGCATATAATATGCCAGACTGAGAGATCACACCCCACCCCCACCTTTCCACCTTTCCATCTTTATTTATTTATTTTTCTCCGTTGGCTGATCGATCCATCCATTCACTTTATATCTGATTATGCTAATTGAGAACTACAAACACATGCATTGTTTAATATAAATCCTACAATTTTCTAGCTAGCTTGGTCCAACTGATGAGAACTAGATCCATATATTACTTGCTTTATTATTATTTGCCCCAATCAAAACCACATGGATACTTTATTTAATCACTCTCTGCAAGTATTCATCTTTCTTTATTCGATTTTGTAAGAGTTGTTGTTACTTTAAAATGCATTATTCTCGAGCGCAAGGAGAAATGAAAAATAAGTGCACGATAGACCTTTTTTTTTTAATGGTTGTCAGATGACTTGTGACTAATTAGGACGAGATATCCACTCGACATCAGTCCACCTTTAGCAAACATAACAACATATATGGCATGGCAGACCAGGCAAACTACGTAGATAACTATAAATAATAAACTATATGTAATTAAGCTACAAATGGCAAATTGGCAATGGCAGGCCGGGCAAATTGGTAGTTTGCTTGGGAACTGGATCCTCTCCTGAGATCAGGATGGGGATTCTCATGAGCAGCACATCCAGAGTGTTTTTTAATATATGAATTTATAATAATAAAATATATAACATTATGCTTACGAGTCTGTAACTTAATTAAGAAGACGATCGATATTCATAAGAAATCTAATTTATGAAATAATTTAACCATAACCTATTGCTTTTTTGCATGACCATTGAGTCATTGACTCCCCTTCTATTTCCTTTTCTGTATGAGTTTGTTTTGTGTCTATGGAGTGGAACATGATCGATCCATATATGCCTGCATATAGTGGAAAGTGGAAACTACCTTTTCAATTACTTTTTGCTGCACCCAGTCTCTCCTATTGTACACCTCGATCCATCAATCTCCTAACAAATATTTATAGTAAAATTAAGAAAGAGGCAACAAGGTTAGCCCAATTCCTTAATTTAGATGGAGTTATGGAGAACAGCTAACGTGCGTGCATGCATGCATGCATGCATTTTTTAGACCAACGAGGTCACCACATACGGATGAGTATATAGATACGTGTTCAATGAAATGATGAATGCATGCATGCATGCATATATATATATATATATATGTACGCATAAAACATTTGTCATAATTACCTTGTACCCATCGGATGACCTAATATGTAACCTACAGGAAACAGGTCATTCATTTCTTTCTACCACTCGACTCGACTCGACCTTCCATATTCCCAAAAATAAATTAATTAATGATACGCTGCTGGGGTATTGGGCCCAACTCACCCAAAATTAAATTAATTAATGCTTGCTTAGTCTGATTATTCGCATTTGGTTGGTACGTCGGTTGGTTTCGGCTTTTCCATGCATCCGGGTATTTTCTTCTGGTTGGCTGCCGTTCGGTTGGCTGTCATATCATACGAATGAATTATGAGGTATATATGATCCGTAATTAATTATGTTAAAAGTTTGACCAGGCTGTCATATCATACGAATGAGTTATGAGGTATATATATGATCAGTAATTAATTATGTCAAAAGTTTGACCACAAACCTCACCCACACGCAATATCTTGACAAGATAATCTGATTAATTACGTCTGAAGCAGTGTTGTTGTACTCGTGAGAAGGCTCGCAGCAGACTAATCGATGTTAAAAGAGGACACGTACTCTACAAACAAACAAGAAGAAAAATTCAAACGCTCATTTATTCGATCAAATCTTAATTTCTTCTTGGACGGTTCATTATTCTCTTTATTAATTTATATATTATTTGTAGTTGATCCAAATTTATGGTTCTTCACATGGCTTCGTGTTCCATTAGATTCGAATCATCGATATTACAGCTTCAGCCACCAATTTTTTCACATCCATCCATCCATCTCACTCTTTTCTTTTGGCACAATTAACCATTTGTCTTTAATTACCCCAAAATTTTACGTTTGACAAAAAACGAATATGTTAATTAATTAACATATATGTACCAAAATTCTATTTTTTACATTAATTTCAACTGTCCAACTACATTATTTTCTCATCATCAAAGGGCACAGCAAAAATGTGGCTGGACCACCAAAGATATATAATTCTTGTTCATTTGTAAGTATTAAGGTTGTAGTTGGGTTTGCTTTGAAAAACAATTGTCTAGTGGCTACCAACGGTGTCATTTTAGGAGGAGGATTCTCTACCCTCATATTCACATTCCCTTACATCCCCTCATCTCACATACTACATTTTGTCTTATTATCTCTATAAAAAAATAAATATAAAATGTTGATGTGACTTAATCGTGACCGTTCAAATATGAGATGATGGATGGGTGGAGAGATTAGAAGGGTAGAGAATCTTGATCCGTCATTTTATATCTTTAACTTTGAAGTTTCTACACTATCTTTGGAGTACCTTGCATTTCATATCATCTCGTTTGATAATCATTTTGTTTTTAATTTTTACTTTTTTGTTGCAGTTTTTACAATTTTATTGAAAATAAAGGAAAGAAATTAACAGAATTTCTCCCAATAAGGGGTTATATATCTTTCGGACTCTATATGAGGCTATATATTTTATTTATGTAGTAATTTGATTGCGCGGTAAATTTATTTTTGTCTTAACTTTTATTAACTTGAATTTTTAATGTGTTATATCTGAAATTTTAGTTTATGAACTTTTTAACCTAAAAAAAATTCAAATTATGACAAAGTTAAATTTCATCACTTATGCACTGTTGTAGGCTTTCTTATCTCAATCTCATCTGTTGGTTTGTTTCTTTGAAATCAGACAATATAAGATTTCATTTCATAACAACCATTGGATTTGATTATGTTATCTCAATCTCATCCGTTGGTTTATTTCTCTGATTGACACATTCTCCGAAATCAAACAAAATTTTCATTTCATAACAACCATTGGATTTGATAATCTTATCACAATTTAGTTATGTTATTTGTTATATTTTTGGTTTAGGTCTCCAAACTACCAATGTTAAATTTCATCATTTCTTATGATTTTTTTCAATCTAGAAAATTAAACACAAAGCACAACATTTTTTTCTAATCAATCGCACAAAAAATGGTTGTTGTTTGTATATGTTTTCTTAATTGAACAAACAATTGAAAATAAACCCTTTAAATCATGTCTTGGAATTAAAAATGAGGCTCACCTATTTCTAAACTAAAAAAAAAAAAAAAACCCAAGATTGGGCCCTCACTTTGGTGTGGGTCCCCTACTTTTTGGGACTAGATGTAATCTAACTTTTTGTTACCTAATGATTCAAATTGCTAGCCCATGTGGTGGATGTAGTCATATTTTTCAACCTATTGGGGATGAAAATTTTCATTTAGAGCTACAAATGTGGTAGCCTCAAAGAAAATAAAGCCTCCATTGAAGATGCTCTTACGCAGTCATGACATGAGGATCTATCTAATCTAAAGAAATGATAAGAAGACTCTAAAAAATGAGATTCTTTTCGTGCTAGTATTATAAAATATTGTTAAAAAAGAATGAGGTAGTGGTGATGAGAGGGGGAGGCGGGAAGGAGGACAGTACAAAGTGCATTACACGGTTACACCTTACGCAGTCATGACATGAGGATCTATCTAATCTATTGGTAATGTTTTCCCGCCTGCCGACGAGTGCCGGCTCTTTCTTCTTTTCAAGTTGGAACGAAAAAGTTGTGAGGCTGTCTCCTTCTGTGTGTTGACGTGCCCTAATCACATGCTCTCACTCCCTTGTTAACATCAGACCTCGTTGCCTCTTCGCCCTCCAATCCCTGTCCACATCCAAATCTAAAAGTGTAGCAATTTATTTGGTTTGAAAGGGACTATTTAGATCTTGAAAAAAACCCGGACCAACCCCAAGGGCCCCAACCCAACCCAAAACTACTTTCTTTTGTGCATCGGAGGAGGAGGCGCAGGACCCACCTTCTATTTTAACCTCTCCTCAAAATTGCGTATTCAATCCATTATTTTAAGGTCAAGCTATTCGATTCCAATAGCCCAACCATTCCATGCTTTTTTCTTTCTAATTTTTCACTTTTTTTTTTCCTTCTTTTCTATTTTCCCTTTTTAAGTTTTAACATGTTATGTTAGCTAATTTAGTGGTATAAGATTTAATTCGCTTCATATTCATGCTTGGGTATGTACAAAAACAATTATTTATGAAATATTAGTGTTAACATTTTCATCAAAAATTTCCACTAAAATTCCTATAAAAGTGAAATCTTAAACTCTAAACCAATGACAATTGTAGACAGTTATGTAATTAATCATATTTTTCCATCACTATACTTACAAACATGAAAAATAAACAAAATCCCATTCTCGCAACAACCGATTCACGCTTCCGTTAGTAAACCCATAATTTGAACAAACAAAAAAAAAACCCTTTAAATATTAGCACAAATTGGAATTCAAATTACAAATTTAGATATGAATCTTCTTCATATCATTTGTTTGATACGTGAATCTTCGGTTTTGGATTTCGTCTCCATTGTACCAATTGAAAGGGCCAACACCGTCAATTCACCTCCAATTCCCCAAACCGTTAATATCTTGGTTTTAAAGTCGGTTGGTGCCGTGCCAAAGCCCCGAATAAAAATAAAATTTTAATACCATAAAAAATTCAAATTTAAAAAAATTCCGATTTTTCTTTTATCGTGGATTCATGTGGAGCAGTGAAAAAAAGAGCCAAAAAAGCTGCGTCCTCTCCACACACCTTTGCATTTTTCTCTTCTCATTTTCTCACAATCCAAACACATACTGTCAGATTCACGTTCAACATTTTGATTGTTTTTCACAAGCGCCCCCCCCCCCCCCAAAAAAAACCCAATTATTAGGGTTTTTCCTGAAAGGAATCTGTCTTCCTCCTCACGTTCTCTCAACTTTCCTCGTCAAAGGTTAGAGCTTTTGCCTTGAACTTTTGGGCTGAGCTCTGAGTTTCTGACCACATTTTTAGGGTATTCGTGATTGATCGGAGGATTTGAGTCGAATTCCGAAGTGGGTTCCACTTTTTGTTCGAGGTAAGTGGATCAGTTCGAGTTTGAGTAATTCTGTGTGTTTTAAACTTGAATTTGGTGGTTACTTTCTGAGTAGATGAATGAAGTAAATAAAAGGGTAATCTGAGTTTCCTGGTATGTTAAGTTTGGCTTCTTTGTGTTGAAATTTGAAAACTTGAACTCATCGAGTTGACTAGACTGAGTCAAGACAATTTATTGCGAGTCGACCATACTTTGTTGTTTTATTCAATTTCTTAGCAACCAGACAGTGCATGGAAGAAAAGATCTGTTTCTCCTAAACGGCATTGCTCTAAAGATTATTCAAGAAGCAGTTCTCTATTTACAAACTGTTGAAAGATGAGATTGATTTAGGTTTCTTCAGATAAACTTTGCTTAGATTAATTTTCTGGAGATTTGGTACCAGTATCAGTTTGAGATTCTTTAAGGATCATACCAAGCATCATTTGGCGTTGAACATTTGATTGGTGGCTGACAAGAGAAAATTAGTGTGGTCTGTATCTTGGATTATGGTCCCCGCCACTGAGATTGTTGGATAAGTCATCTCGTGGGACCTTGCTAAAATTCGATATGCCTATTTTCTTTGTTGGAAAAGTAAGTCTTTTGATCTCAGTTTTATTTGGTTTTCGATCTTGAAGGTTGCAGAAACTCTATAGAGGAAATGTCGCAGAAAACCAGGGCCCCACCTTCCTTCCAGTCAATCAAATCATTGCCCGGAGATTTTAGGTTCTCAGGTCTACCAGCTTCTGATCGATTTGGAAAATCTGATGATGGGAATTTGGGAAATAGCAATGTCATCTCCTCGAGTATTCCAGAAAATGGTGGTTTTGAGGGAGTTGAGGGTAGTATTGGGCCTCTTGGCGACATGGAACAGGTAGACGATTCACCATATGGCAGGAACACAATCTCCATCGAAGACAGCCCCCCAAGGGGTGATGAAGACTTGGATTCTGTTGCTCCATCTATGCCTTCAATAGCTTCATCCCGTAGGGAACATAGGTGGGGTGACACCAATCCTTATGCTGTGAAGAAGGTATTTAGTCATGCACTTGAAATTTTAGCTAAATTTGCTTCTTGGTAGAATGAAAGGAAAAGAACCTTGACTTTCTTGCTTACATGCTGCAAAATCAGGGGTTTTATTTGCCCCTTTGCTTTTGTTAGCTTGCATATACTTTTTTTCATAGATATTCATATAATCATCTATGCATACGCACAATCAATGTAGATGCACGTGTGCTGTATTATTATACATGTGTCCTTTAGTTCCATGTTGATTGTCAGTTACATATAGGAATTTTGTGGTGTGTGCCTCAAGGTGTGAGAACAAACTAGTATCCCATTTGCAGCAGGGGGAATTGTTATATTATAAAATCTCTAGGGTTGTTATCTTCTGGCCTGTGCCTTGCAGAAATTAATGCTCTACGAAATGGGTGATTCACTTGTAATTCTTTTTTCATATTTCTCTATCTCCATGAAAGCATATGTAATTCTATTCTTAACCTGCTGACAGCAGATATGGCCATGGGATTATAAAAAGTTAGCTGTAGTTATTTTATAATGGTTTGAGTTGATCTTGATAACTTATTATGGTTGTATTAGTACTTCTTACACGTTAGAATTATTGTTTCAGAAGCTTCAATCTTGGTTCCAACTTCCAAACCGTAATTGGGAACTGGGGAGAATATTGTCTACCTCAGGCGCTGAATCTGTTATATCACTTCCTAACGATAAAGTAAGACACCTTTTGAAAACCATGGAAGTATGATGTGATACTAGTTTGATTTTTGAGTTAATTTCATTTTTTTATTCATGTGTAGGTTGTAACGGTAAAAACTGAAGATTTGGTTTCAGCTAATCCAGATATCCTTGATGGTGTGGATGATCTCATGCAACTTAGTTACCTAAATGAGCCATCAGTGTTGTACAATCTTCAGTATAGATACAATCAGGATATGATTTATGTAAGTGTTTATATTGTATTTGTCTACTTTGAAATCTACTTCCGAGTTTTCTTTCGTTTAATAAATGCTTTTGTGGGTATAATTGTCTATCTCAGACAAAAGCGGGACCGGTGTTGGTTGCTGTCAATCCCTTTAAGAGAGTTTCTTTATATGGGAATGAATACATTGAAGCATACAAGCGTAAAGCAGTTGAAAGTCCACATGTGTATGCCATTGCAGACACAGCCATTCGGGAAATGGTTAGAGGTGGATTTACTTATTCACAATTTATATGATGGAATTTTCAGCAGTTCATACCATATTAGCTTAGTGTCATTAATTTGTAGATTCTAACCTACTCCTATTTTTCTTCCAGATGAAGTAAATCAGTCTATAATTATAAGGTCAGTAAAGTGTGACATTTTCTTTTCTGTATTCAATTGTTCCAGTTAACATTTTATTTTAAATGAGTCAGTTATATAATTGTAGCCTTTTGTTCCTTGAGTGAATTTGATCGAAACTACATGATTGCTGCACCACAATTAAGGACACTGATCATAAGAAAAGATGTATAGTTATGAAAGCACTCCAACAGACATACAAAATAACACAAAAAAATAAGAGAGTAAGAAGAATAGAAGTGTCGAATGAAGCAGATAGTTCAAGCACAGCCTTTTATTCTTGCAGAATAATAAATCTTCTAAATTAAAGCATTCCTCATTTTGCTTAGGAGTATAAAAGAACCTTTTGTTAAGAAATCAACTCTTATTCCTTTAAGTAATATCATTTGTAACTTTCATGATGTAGCACCTGAGATATATGATGTTATTTCAGCGTCCCTAATGAATGCTTTATCTCCATATTGGATATGTATTTAATTTGTGTATAGAATTAGCCTCAGTGACACCCAAACATCTATTTTTCATGTCCATACAGTGGGGAAAGTGGAGCAGGAAAAACTGAAACTGCGAAGATAGCAATGCAATATTTGGCTGCACTTGGAGGTGGAAGTGGAATAGAGCATGAAATTTTGAAAACTAACCCGATACTGGAAGCCTTTGGTAATGCGAAAACATTGAGAAATGACAACTCAAGTCGCTTTGTAAGCTCTCAGTTTTCACATGAATGCTCTTTCTTTAGGTTCATTTCTTTCTACTTATTAAATTAAGAAAAAGGAACCAGTTTCCAGTCTGGCCATGGTGCAGAGGACAAACCTCCACGCCATGGCTGTGGCCGGTGCAGCTGGGAGAGAGAAGTGGGAGGAGGAGGAGAGGCAGGGAGAGGGGGATGAGGAGGAGAGATGGGGAGAAGGGACAAGGCTGGAAAAGCGGGAATACAGATTGTGGAGTATATTTAATTACCCTTCATGTAGCAATACTGATTACTATGAGAAAATATGTTGCAGGGAAAATTGATTGAAATCCACTTTAGTGAAACTGGAAAAATTTCTGGTGCCAATATTCAAACTTGTAAGTTCAGTCCTCCCAAGTTTCCTCAGCGAATTCTATTTACATATGTGTTTCTTTTTTTAAAACCATATTTAGACTGACCTTTTATTGTGTCTGTTTCCCCTGTATGACATAGTTTTGCTTGAAAAGGTAATCATTTTTTACTCTGATCCTTGTTTGTAGCTTGTTTAATTTTTCATACAAGTCCATTGTCTAATTGAATTTTTTAACAGTCTAGAGTGGTCCAATGCACTGAAGGTGAAAGGTCCTATCATATATTTTATCAGCTTTGTGCTGGAGCTCCACCTGCTCTTAGAGGTTAATAATTCTGATTACCTTTTCTATTTTCTTCATATATCACTTAACAATATATAAGATACGTATTATATTTAGAGGCAATTTTGTATTAACTCATATCATCCATTATGTCTTCTTTTATAGTTTCAGAAAACTATATGGCTGATGACTCTCATACGTGCTTTGTATAGAATTGAGTCACAAAGCCCCCTCAACCCACACACTCATAATGTTTGCCTGTAACTAATTGGTGTATACGTATGTTTTGCATGTGTGTGCTGGCTTAAGAAAATTCCGTATATTGTTCCTTTGGTTGTATGTCACAGAGATGCTGAACTTGAAGAGTGCAGATGAGTACCAATATCTGAAGCAAAGCAATTGTTATTCCATTTCTGGGGTTAATGATGCTGAAGAATTCAGTGTGGTGAAGGTACTCTTTCCTATTTTATGCAGCACACACCTATCTGTAGTCTAGGTATCTATTTCGCCTTTTAACCATTTTGAAATATCATGTGCATGTGAACTCACGATGAATCTTACCATTTTCAGGAAGCTCTAGATGTTGTCCATATAAACAAAGAAGACCAGCAAGGTGTATTTGCAATGCTTGCTGCAGTTTTGTGGCTGGGAAACATCTCATTTAGTGTGATTGATAATGAAAATCATGTTGAACCTGTAGAAGATGAAGGTAACAATCTTCGAGAGGATAGAATGAACGAAAATAGGGGAGTGATATTAACCTTCTCACTTACCTTCTCATTTCAACATTCTCACTTCTACACATGCCACGTGTATTCCACTAGCATGCAAAACTAAAAATTTTAATTTTTTTTTTTTGTTGACAAACTAAAATTTATTTATACTAACAAAAGAATAAAAGTAGTGAGATTTTAATATAATTTTAGTTTTGAGTTCTATTGGAGTACACGTGGCATGATGAGAAGTCAGAAGGTTGAAATAAGAAGGTAAGTGAGAAGGTTGCTAAAATTTCTTAGGACAATATATAGCTTAGCTGAGTGTAATACTTGTGTTGGCATCGTATCAATGCTTCGTGCTGTAATTTTCATTTTAAAGGATTTGAAGTTCTTCCACAAAAAGAAGGGACCTCCTTTTTTGAGACAGATTTCCTTGAAGTTTTGTGATTTGTTGATTCCTTTTGAAAGAGGAGATTTTTGTTTTTCAATTTTCATAATGAGAACTATTTGAGCGGGTTTTTTTTTGGAGGGGGGGGGTTGTAAATATGGCTCTTGTTGTGATTTATTTTCTTGCTGACTATATAGTTCACTTTGTCTTTGTTTTCATTGGTTAAATGAGTTTAATGATTCAAGTTTCATTTTCAGGTTTGTTCAATGTCGCAAAATTGATTGGATGTGGTGTAGATGAGCTTAAGCTTGCTTTATCAACTCGAAATATGAGAGTTGGTATTGACAGTATTGTCCAAAAGCTAACGCTATCACAGGTAAGAAATCTTTCAGAGAGTTAATAGTTGTCTTGGGTTGTATAAATAAAAAAGATACAAAAATGAATCTCTTTCTCTCAGATCACTTGTACAAAAGAATTCAGATGATTAGTATTTGGTTCTGTAACGACCAGGCGGGTTCCATTAATTGTTGACTAAACTATACCAAGCATACTGATATGATTTTCATGTCCTCCATTAAATTCTCTTGCATTTTTCAGGCCATCGACACAAGAGATGCTTTGGCAAAGTCAATTTATGCATGTCTGTTTGAGTGGCTGGTTGAACAAATTAACAAATCACTTGCAGTAGGAAAACGGCGTACTGGCAGATCTATCAGCATTCTTGATATCTATGGTTTTGAATCATTTGATGTATGTTTTCTTTATGCTTTAATCGGATCTCTGTTTGTGTATTACATTTTTTTAACTGAACATTTGTTTTTTTTTTTTTTTTAATCCTGTAGAGAAATAGTTTTGAACAGTTCTGCATTAATTATGCAAATGAGAGATTGCAACAACACTTCAATCGTCACTTATTCAAGTTAGAGCAGGATGTAAGTATCCCATTCATTTTTAATACTATAACTACAATAATGACTTGTTGATTCCTTGCTTTCTCTGTTCCACAGGGTTTCATTGAGTTCTAGTTAGATATTTATTGTGTCCATAGATTAGACTAGAAAACCATTCGCACTGCACAGCCTGTTTAAAAGCAACCATGCCATCACAATTATATTTCTCATTTTAGTTCATCAGTAATAATTTAAAGCCAAAATAATTAAAACCCATGATAAGTACATCATGCTTGCCCTGTGAATCAAATTCTTAAATGATTCTTAATTTATTGGTACGTTTATGCTTGGATTGAATTAATCGAACGAAGAGTTTATTAGAGCAGAGCACATGCTTAATTTATTGACTAGCTATTATTTATTCTTTTCAGGAATACATCCAAGATGGAATTGATTGGACAAAAGTTGAATTTGAAGACAACCAAGATTGTCTTGGTCTTTTTGAAAAGGTACTGAGCTTATCCCTTTCCTTCCCTTTACAGTTGTCCCTTGTTTAAGTGATGATAACCAATGAAGTTAGTGATGCTTGGAACCCTTGAGCCAATTAGTATATGAGAACTAAATTTATAGTACGAGTGTCCCTGAACTTCTTGTGACATAAATGCAGAGGCCGTTGGGATTACTGTCCCTGTTAGATGAGGAGTCCACCTTCCCAAATGGTACTGATTTGACCTTTGCCAACAAGCTTAAGCAACATCTGAGTTCTAATTCTTGTTTCAAAGGAGAACGAGACAAATCGTTTGCTGTCAGTCATTATGCAGGAGAGGTACTCCTTTTGATTAATTGATTTTCAATTTTTTTATATTCTCATTAATTGTTAATGTACAATTATATTATATTTTATTTTCTTTATAATTTCTCCTGATTATATTAAAGCACAACTGGCATAAAGAAAATTGTCAATGTACATTTCCTTGCTTGATCAGATTTGAAAATTTCTGAACCGTAGCCAAGCCCAACCCTCCCCTTGGACCTAAATCGAGGATTGGGTGCTAACAATTCTTCTATACATTATCTCGTAGTACTGACAAAAAGAATAGAGAAAAAGCTTTTTATTCAACTTTTTCTTGCTTGCCTGACTGTTGATTGTTCCACCTGGTCTTCCACTCAGGTTTCATATGACACAACAGGATTTTTGGAGAAGAACAGGGACTTACTGCATTTAGATTCTATTCAGCTTCTTTCATCATGCTCATGCCACCTTCCTCAGATATTCGCATCTAGTATGCTTAATCGACCTGAGAAGCCTTTAGTTGGTCCCCTGTATAAAACAGGTGGCGGAGTAGACTCCCAGAAGCTGAGTGTTGCAACGAAATTTAAGGTATGTTGCTTTCCTGTTTTTAAGAACATGACTTTGAGTTCAACGAAGATTATAATTGTGATAAGATACAGAACTATCTGCTAACTGTGTTCTTTCAATTAACTTATTTGTGTTGGTATTTAGAGTCAATTGTTCCTATTGATGAAACGTCTAGAAAACACCACTCCACATTTCATACGTTGTATCAAGCCCAACAATCTTCAATCCCCTGGACTATATGAGCAAGGACTCGTACTGCAGCAGCTGAGATGTTGTGGAGTTCTAGAAGTGGTTCGCATATCAAGATCTGGCTTTCCTACCAGAATGTCACACCAGAAGTTTGCAAGAAGGTAACACAAGATATCTTTACTTCTGTTTCGTCTTTCAAATACCTTATACATGTCTCCAGTATCTTATCATTTTTGTTTGCTTCGCCATTGTTGAATGTTGCATCAGATATGGTTTTCTTCTGCTGGAGAATGTTGCATCGCAGGATCCACTTAGTGTTTCAGTAGCTATTCTTCACCAGTTCAACATATTACCAGAGATGTATCAAGTGGGCTATACAAAGTTGTTTTTCCGAACTGGACAGGTAAATTGATGTATTGCTTTTGAGGAAAGGAAAATGAATATGCTACCTGTTTTGGACAGTCAGACTAGTGCATCTGGGTAGAGATAAGACTATCGTGTGGCTATGCTTTTATCATGCCTAGGTTCCAACACTTTTATGCATATATTTTAATGTTTTCCACCGTTCAGATATTTTGATGTGTTTAAATCTATATACAAGATTATCTAAAAACCTGAGCTAAAGTCATTGGCCGTGTCAGCTGTTTGGAATATCTTTCGTACATGTTATTCTTTACTGATATCAAAGTGGTGTGGAAATTTGATGCAGATTGGGGTGCTTGAGGACACCAGAAACCGTACGCTCCATGGTATTTTACGTGTTCAAAGCTGCTTTAGAGGACACCAAGCCCGGTGTTACCTCAAGGAGCTGAGGAGAGGAATCACCACGCTTCAATCATGTACTAACCTGCTCATTGTTTATTTTGGTGAACTTTGTCAAATTTTGTCAAGAAGCATTTGGTTATTTATTGTAATTTACTTAATGCAGTCATAAGGGGACAGAAAACCAGGAAGGAGTACTCAATATTACTAGAGAGGCATAGAGCTGCTGTTGTCATACAAAAGCAGGTCAAAAGCAGGTTTGCAAGGAAGAAATTCAACAACATTTATGCTGCATCAATCGTGATACAATCAGGTGCAATAGCTTTGTTCCTCAATCTTGTTGAACTTGTGTCAACATGTTAAAGGTTAAGCAGTCCATACTACCCAACGTCTATATATTTGATAATTTTGTCTAAGTTTAAGCTATCTTTGCAGTTCTTCGTGGCTGGTTGGTCAGAAAATGCTCAGGAAGTATAGGATTGTTGAAGCCTGGAAGCATGAAGGTAGTCCTGTACACTTCTATCTATTCTAGCTTCCTTGTTACCTCATTATGGCCTTTGCACCTACATTTTAACGTTTGTATCTTTCAAATTATTGGTATTGCCCATCTGGTATGGATTTTATTTGCATGCTTTCCAGTGATGCAAAACTTTCATGTATAAATTGAGCCTCATAATGGCTTTCATCAGGTTCAATTACTGCTGTTTGGTGTGAGTGCCATAAATGTTGTTTGAGACTTTGTGGGTGTTTATGCAAGCACTTGCACCAGTTCGTACTATGTTTTCTATCTGATAACAATATTCTGCACGGAATCAGGCATATGTTTCATGGGAATAATTAACAGTTAAGAATCTCAAACAGGCTAACGAGTCAGATGAGGTTCTGGTAAAGGCATCTTTCCTTGCTGAACTACAGCGCCGCGTTCTTAAAGCTGAAGCTGCCTTGCGAGAGAAGGAAGAGGAGAATGACATCCTCCACCAACGTCTCCAACAGTATGAGAGCCGCTGGTCGGAATATGAGCTGAAAATGAAATCCATGGAAGAAGTGTGGCAGAAACAAATGAGATCCCTACAATCCAGCCTCTCAATTGCGAAGAAGAGCTTAGCCATTGATGATTCTGGGAGAAATTCTGATGCATCAGTGAATGCAAGTGATGACCGTGACCAGAGTTGGGATACAGGAAGTAACCATAGAGGCCAAGATAGCAATGGGGTGAGACCATTGAGTGCAGGTTTGAGCGTCATAAGCCGGTTAACTGAAGAATTTGATCAGAGGAGTCAAGTTTTTGGCGACGATGCCAAGTTCTTGGTGGAGGTAAAGTCTGGTAAAGTGGAAGCAAGTCTGAATCCAGACCAAGAGCTAAGAAGGTTGAAGCAGATGTTTGAGGCTTGGAAGAAGGATTACGGGGCAAGACTAAGGGAGACAAAGTTGATTATGCATAAGATTGGGAATGAAGAGGGGGGCAGTGCTGACAGGGTGAAAAAGAAGTGGTGGGGAAGGCGGAACAGCTCGAGGATAAATTAAGTAACAGAATTATTCTGTTGGAGATGGGCTAGCTGTGTTGTTTATGCTAAACCCCTTCCATTTTTATAGTTGAGGAATGTGGTTGCCGCATAGAAATTGTGACACAGAGTTTAGTTGTTGCAAGCGATTTGGTGCTTTGTTAATTTGTAGAGCAGAGCAGAGCTGAGCTGCTAGTTACTCCAGTATGTATGTATACGTTTTCTTATTTATAGTGCAAGTTCGATTCTCTACATTGATGAATGACTGAATGAAATCTTTGACATTACCAGAGTATATGGAATGTTGTTATTATTTAAAGGCAACAAAGTATGGGGGAGAGAGCGAGAGACTTCCCTGCTCTCGGAATGCCACCGGACCAATTGGGGGTGGCATTATGAGAGGTTAGGGGAGGGGAGCCCAATCTCCATCGTGCTCCTCTTCCTTACCAACAAACGTCACGTTTCCGCCGACAAGAAAATTCACCGGCGACCCTGGAAAAGTCCTATTTATCTTACAATTATTATTGCTGTTCATGGTTTTATCGTTATGATTATGTAAGAATTGGAAAATAAGGCACAAAGTTGAAGAATTGCGACTTTATAACGGTGCGCACCAAGGGGGTCCCATTCGCTCTCCACCCCCACAATGAACTTGCACGTTTCATGAATCCAGTGATCCACATTCCACAATACTTGCGGGTTATAAAGTGAAAAAAAAATAATTCAATCTATTTGTGGCCGTAGGATTGTACACGGACGGCCAAGATTAAACCATCCACAGACTCCGCATAGAAGGGATCCGGAGAGGATCCGACTCCGGAAACCCCAACAAAATTAACAGGACAGAGGAAGCTTGTTTAGTTTGTGGGTTGAGTTGTGAGACTGCGTCCGCGTCCGCGTCCGCGTCCGCAGATAATGTTGAGCCGTGGTGGCGGCTGCTCTCGTCTTACCCCTCACCTGCGACTTCGGGACTCCAACCTCCACCGGCTCAACCTCCACCTCCACCTCCACCTCCACCTCCACCATCCGCAGCTGGGCTTCGGCTTCGGCTTTGTCTTTATCTTCGGCTTAGGGTTTTACAACACCAGAATCGCCCACCTCCGCTGCTACCCCTGCCCTCCGCCTCTCAAACCCCTACCCTTGTCGTCTGCCCTCTCTCACTCTCACTCTCACTCTCACACAAGGGCGGTTCGTTTTTCGTCCATCCTTCCTTCTTCTAAGTCGTCTTCCCCCGACATTACCGCCCTCCCCCATTGTTTTAGGTACTCTACTCTACTCAACTGCTCATCCCTGCCCTTTCCCTTTTATTTTATTTATCTTTTGCTTGATTTATAAATTCATTCAGTAATGCAATTCACATTTCATTTTACTTGTGATCAAATTTTCCCCTTGCTACAACTTAATCATATCTTAAATCTAAAAGGGTGTTCATTGTTCAGAATCTCATCTTGATATTGTTATCGTTCAATTTGGTTTAGAAATTACGATGTAGGAGTTAACATGAATCAATTGATTCGATTTTCCTTAATATGGTTTCAATGTTGATTACTTTTTAACATGAATCAATGTTTCAATTTTCCTTAAGATGGTTTCAATGTTGATTACTTTAGCTACACACCCTGCAATGCAAGTATATGTAGGCATGTTTGTCTGTGGTCAAACTCTGATTCCTTTCCCTTTTGCAAAGCCAACGAGAAGATGAATGCGAGCTTCCCCCCGAAGGATTGTCCTCTGTTGCAGGTTTCATTCCAACTCTACTTTCCCTTTTTCACCTTCTCAACGGCATTTTTGTATCACATTATATATGTAAGCTTTTTCCTTAGTTTGATATTGTATGCAATATATTACAGTAAGAATTTTGTTAGCATATTATGCCATAATTCCTTTTAGCTGCTTCTTCAAGTACCAAGTCAGTATATTGCGATTTGCGATTCTTCTACACTGTGACACAGTGCATCTGGTGACGTTAGATTTACAGATGCTAATTTTGACGAGGAGAACTAACCTTCTATGTCACCCAAGTCTAAAGTCATTTAAATAACTTCTAAGCAAAATAGGGGAAAGAAATTATCCACAGATTCGGAAAAGCACAAAGATTTCCTATGCTAACAAACACGCTTTGAGTAGAGTTTAAGGATTAAGAAAACTTCCAAGTTCCTCGATTCGGTTCATCAGAACTGCACCATTCCGATGTCCCCATATGCATTTTCAGTGATTCAACATGTTGTCTTTTGTAAAAAAAGTTATTCAACAAGTTGCATCTTAACACTTCCCCTTTGTTTCTAGTAAGTTTTCATCTAGTAAAAACATCATCTCCTTGTTGGGAACTGGAAACCCTAAACATAAAGAATGCTGTGAACAATTGTATTTCTCAGTAATAGAGGAGTTTACCAACTCAACTTGTGCCAATTTTGTGGAGCTTAACAACCCTAAGCAACGGAAATAAATTTAAATGTGGTGAACAGACTCAACCACATCTCCGACATTCTAGGACTCTAGCTTGACTTGGTCTCTAAGTTACCATGTCCACTTTATTTAACCAAAACTTAATTAAACATGACTAAATAACTCTTAGCACCCTCCCTTAAACTGATTTCTACAAAAAACAGTTTAGGGTTTTTCTACCAGCACATAACCTTCATCATGATCGACCACATCTCCTACATTGTAGGACTCTAGCTTGACTTGGTCTGTAAGTTACCACGTCACCTTTATTTAACTAGAACTTAATTAAACATCACTAGATAACTCTTAGCACCCTCCCTTAAACTGATATCTACAAAAAACAGTTTTAGGATTTTTGTACCAGCACATAACCTTTTTCATGATCAATGCTTTGGACTGAACAAACACCAAGCATGTTCCTCAACTTCTTGAATGCGGGTTGCTTCAAAGGTTTAGTTTAAGATGTCTGCAACCTGTACTCATTCTTCATATAGTGAAAGATTGTTGTTGCTTTCCCGAGGACGTAGGCACATATAGCCGAACCATGTTAATTCTTAGTGTTATTTGTCTTGGTTATTTTGTTGTCGTTTTTTTTAGTTTATTCTGTTTTTTCTCAATTTTAAACGTTATATTCACAACATGAATGAAAGCTTTCATCTAAATCAACAAAGGAAGACTTACATCCTCTCATGTGGTTGCTACAACCAATGTCCACGTACCTTGTCTCCTGATCAGTTTCTGTCAGTGCATGAAAGGCCATCAAAAGTGTATCTTCCTCCTTTTTCTTAGCAAAGTTTGATTATTCTCGTCTTTTCTTTTGGCAACTTTGTGTAGCACTCATGCTTGTAGTGACCAAAATTTCCACATTTATAACACTCAACCTTGGACGTCATAGTGGCCTCGTCTTTTTCTTGAGAGACAACATCTCTCCTGAAAACACAAGATGATTTGCTATCATCCTGATTCCCAAACCGTCCACCGCTTCGATGGCATTGACTACCTCTTCCTCCTCGAGCATTTAAGGGCTTAGAGAAAGTGGAAGCGTTCAGCGCTGTTTGTTCTTCACTGCAATGGTGCGGTTAAGCCTTTCATGCACTAACAAAGAGCTTTGGAGTTCATCATCTCGTAACTTAACAACGTCCTTTGACTCCTCAATTGAATAGACAACGTAGTCAAATTTCGGAGTCAATGATCTCAAAATCTTCTCAACGACTTTCACTTCTTCTATGGTGCCACCATTGGATCTCATCTTGCTTGCTGTTCCCAGGGTTCTAGCAAAGAAATCAATGATGGACTTACCTGATTTCATTTGTAGGGTTTCAAAGTCCTTGTTAGGGTTTGAAGCACTGCACGCTTCAATCTCTCTAACCCTTCATATTTCTTCTCCAAAGAGCCCCATATTTGTTTGGAGGTCTCCTCTGTTATAATTCTGACTTTCCTGTGGATCTTGCTCTTTGATGTATTCGGCAGTAGACTAAACTTAGCAAATTAGAGAATAACTAGAAACACACAAGATTTATAGTGGTTCGACATAACTTTTGCCTACATCCAGTTGTGATTTCCCTGGGTAAAGAAACCATGGCTTCTTTGAGTTAGCACTTTTGCAAAACTCTAGAACTAATCACCCTTTATCCATGTCGGCTGTGTCTGGCTTTTCTCTCTTTCCCTAGCCTTGCCACACCTTATTTATAATTATAAGGTGTGGTTTACATGCCTATTTTTTGATTAAATTTCCTATTCTATACTTTCTTACCTTTTCCAATTAGACTTCTAGGATTCCTAATCTAATTGTATAAGGAAAATTTGATTCTTTCCTAGTCCTTCTAAGAATAGAGTCGGTGCACCCTTACTTTCGTTGTTGCTCAGTCAACACGACTCCCCTATGTTGGGCTTCGATCCCTGATTCCACAAGGTGCCAGTATTCTTTTCATCTAAGGAATTTTTCCATCAGCATGCTCCAATTGTCGTAATAACCATCAAACCATGGAATCACAGGTTGAACAAAATTCTCAGTGGCTTTGTCAGTTGCCTATGTTTCTTGCTGCTGCAAGACACTATCTTTTTCGAGTTCTTCCAGAGCCCCAAAGTTAGCCAAGCTCCACGATAACCACACTTGACTTGTGCAGATTTTGTGGAGTTTAGCAACCCTAAGCGACATAAATAAATTCAAATGTGGTGAACAGACTCAACTGCATCTCCTACATTCTAGGACCCTAGCTTGACTTTAATTAAAACTTAATTAAACATGATAGTAGACACAACAGTCATATAAACATCTTCTAAAATTAATTTTCAGCATAAAGGAATCAAGCCTTTTGTACCACTGTCTTGGCAGCTTTCACATCCATTTGCTCAATTTCCATGTTATGTTGTGCTGTCATTGCTAAAAACAATCTGATAGAAGTATGCTTGACTACGGGTGAAAGGACCTCGTCATAATTCGCCCCTTCATTCTATGAGTACCCCTTAGCCACGAGTCTTGCCTTGAATCTCATGGCTTGCTGTTCATGTAGTCCTTCCTTTTTTTTTTAAATACCCACTTGCATCCAACTAGCTTTGTCTTTGGGCATAGGAACCAACTCCCATATATAGGGTTCTTGTAAAGAGACTCCATTTCTTCTGTCATAGCACTTATCTAATTAGCTTGCTCATCACTTGCTATAGCTTCTTGATAAGTAGTTGGATACCTTGACTAATGTTCAGAGCATATTTAACTTCGTCTTGGTCAAACCCAAACTTGTCAGGTTTCTTCTTGTTTCGATTGGGTTTGTCTAGTGCAATGTATCTCTTGAAGAGTTCGAACCCTTGGGATATCTAGTGGAATGGAGTGCCTTCAATCTGCCCTAT